ATTTATATATATAAGATTTTTAAAGATGAGTGGGTTATACTTAGAGGCTGTTCGTACAATCACTTAACAGAAATGTTATGTTACAGACTGATAATCAATTATATTTGAATAGCACTTTCCTTAACATTTCTCTGTTAATGTTATACTTCCATTACATTGTAGCATAATTGCTATTACTGCTAATGCTAGTGTTACACTACTGTAAATGCTGTACTGTAACTCTTACCCTAACTGCGACTGGTCTATTGGTCGCACCTTCGCACTTTCTATTGCCAATGCAAGAACTAAAAGTGAAACAAATATAATGCCGGAAGTAAAAGAATCCACCATTGCAAACATGCGAAATGCGGCGTATTTCCCTTAATGGCACGCCGATACCGTTAGCTGGCCAAGCCAATCGTCACTCAATATGAAATATCGACAAAATGCCAGTCACGTTTCGGGGCCAATCCATACAACTCACGACACGCGACACAGGGAATATGCATAGACTGTATATCTAATATATATCCGAAATACCTACAGAGACCTAGTCATAAAATGTAGTTTTAATGCAAATTCTATACGTGTAAAACTGTATAAGACCTAAAAGTTGCAATCATAGATAAACAAATAGATAAATCAAATGGTATAGCTATAAAGCCTGACGAGATTTCATTTTCAATGCTAGTTAGTACTTTAATTCAATTTATTGTTTACTTATTTAGACTTATGTGACTTCATTTTAAGCACAGCTAATGCATTACGCATTTTATATTATTAATAAGCATTCTGAATTGTGATGAATCACAGGCTTCAAGTCTCGCATGACTCTTACAAATTGCCCAAATTAATTATAAATCTCTTTTAGTTTGACAAAGTTGCTAAGCATACACTGAAAGTAAAGAAAGTCCATTAGTTAGGCAAAAAGCAAAGAATTCAAAAAAAAAGGAAAATAAATCCATAAAAAATTTAATCTACCCTTTTATAACCCCCTCCATAAATGGCTTATAAAACTTGCTAAAAATTGTTATTGGCCAGTAAACGGGCATTGCGCAGCTTGTTATGCCCCATGGCTGAGTTGTTTATTGATATTTTGATTTGTATATTTTCGCCAGACTTAGGTAATTTATCAAAACACTCGAAGACTTAGCATGAGGCAATTGCTGATGCTGCGCCAAAGCAGTTGTATATATGTGCATATCTATATATTTATATAAATACAAACAAACGCATGTAGGTGTTATTATTGTTATTGTTATTGTTTTTGTTATTTATCTATTTGGTCGATGACACAAATTCTATAAAATGAAACGTGAATAGGCGTCGAGCCACTCGAATGCGTCTGTCTGTCTGACGGCTCTTTGCGCAAGTAGGCGCATTTATTAATTAATCATTTTTGAGCTTGCAAAATGCAAATTGTTAACTGAATAGAGGCGATCGGCTATCGGCCAACTGCCAACTGGCAACTTGGCTAAATGATTGCCACTATTTGCTTGTTGCAGTAATTGGAGACTCTTGTTGTTGTTGCGAGCGGATACTAGACACATGTGTAGACATATGCGTGTATGTGTGTGTGTCTGTGTGTGTGTGTGTGCTTTACTTGTTATTCAGCCAACTATGCTTTGGCTTGGCTTGTCTGGCAGTAAGGTCAACAGCGTCGCAAGGGGCCTAGCCTCCAGTTTAGCTGCTGCTGCCTGCTACTGCCACGCCCCCCTCTGCACACCATTGGCGTCATCACCCGTTCCCAATTGGCATTGGCGTGTGGGCAGCTTATACGCTTTACAAGTGCTTAATTCACTTGCACTACAAATATATATATACAATATATACATATATAAATAGCAAAGAATATAAAGAATTGCGCAAGCCGTTCTCAAGTCGCAGCCTTCGCCATGCAAATGTTGAAGTTGAAAGAAACAAAAACCTTGACAGAAGAAGCAGAGCGGCAGGCAGAGCCAAAGGCAAAGGTAAATAAAATAGTTTGAACAAGTTTTATGATGCACTTCATGCGCTCCAACTAATATGCAATTGAAAATAATCGTAGCAGACGAGACGGTGCTGGCTATCAGGCAGCGATAACAGAACTGCCAATTTTTATACATATAAATATAAACATATATATATGTATGTGTGTGTGTGTGTGTATTAACGACCTGCACGTAATCGCTGGGAAGTTGGCTTCAATCAACTGGCAACATGGCGTTGACATCGTATAGCTTATCAGCTACAAAGAAATCAAACGTAAGACGTCGTTTTTCACAATCAATAAAGCTTGAAGCTGTTTGACACTTATATAAGCATAGGCAGGAAAAGTCTAATTGGAAGGCGGCGTATAAAATCTAAGCGGAGCTGGCAATTGATTTCCAATTGGAGTATGATTTTGGGTTGATTAATTTCTACGGCAACGCCAACAAAACTATGATTGCCTAAAGGAAAATCAATACGGAAGCCCTTGAAACTCCATTGACCCAGCAATTGGTTCCCAATTGGAATACTATTAGCTGCCACAATTTGAGGTATATAAATATATTATAATTTATAAGTATGTATAGCTTAGCGAAGATTAGCGAAAAAGCCTTTGAAAAGCTGTATAAATTACCAATTAGCCTGCTCCCCACATTAGTATACGTTCCAATTAGAACGTTAACATAGTTCTGTTAATTGATAAAAGAAGCGAGCAATAAGATAAGAAATTGCTGAAAACTAAAAAAAAACTTGTTCAATTAGATTCACGTTGTCATTCAATAATTTCGCATTGGAATTTAAGTAAAATCAATAATCATGATAGAAAAACCAGGGAATAGCCTCTTGAAACACTTTATATTTAGTTATCATTTAATCTCTATATACATATGTATGCAGTGCTCATTGATCGGTTTAATTGTTTGATGATAACTGACCCAAATAATTTCCACTCGCTGCAGGCAATTGCTCGTTCGTTTGGAGTCTAAAGTCGTGACAATGTTCTGCTTGACTGTTAGTTTTACTATATTTATTTTTTTTTTCTCAAAATATTCCTCTTGGCAATCATAATTTTATTTTTATAGCGCTCGTAATCGAACTAATCACAATTTGTTTTTATTGTTGAACGAGCAAAATACCGAAATACGAAAATATGTTAAGCATTTCTGTTGTTGTATAAATAAAACAAAAGAATCGCAAAATTTGTTACCTGTTCAAATAGAAATTTCACCGAAAACAAGATGCAGATGTTTTTGTTCGAAATGTTTGCAGAGCGTCGTAAACAAGTCGAGCCAACTTAGAGATAGATATTTTCTATACATATGTATTGTGTATTTCGAGTACCCAAATGGCTTTTCACTTCACGATATCAACAAATAAGAAACACAATTAGGCACTTTGTCTAATAAGAAGAGACTTTCTGGTTGGGATTTTCCTTTAGTGATTCATATTTGAATTTACAGGAATAAGGAAATTTGACGTTCACAATATATTGATTATGCAAATATTTAATACACTTCCAACCTATGTTGATATTTTGTTTGTTGTTGTTTTTAATTTAGTTTAGTTATGAGTGAAGCAATTAGTGCGACACGCGCCAGGTACTACGAATTGTTCACCTGCCCAGGTGGAGCGGAGAGCAGCGAATGAATTAATGAATCAAGTGAATACGAATGCGGCGAAACAGTCGAAATCGAAATAAACAGACGCAACGTTAGCAACGCCAACAACAAATGCTAAACCAAAACGCCGTACGTAAACGAAACGAAGCGAGAAACAAATGCCGAACCGAAGCCCTCAGCGAACGAATCGAAAACGAAATCGAAATCGAACGAACGGATCGGTAAATGTCTTTTAGCTAGCTTATTAACGGCTAACTGATTAGCTCTTTGCCTATATATGAGTACATACATAAATAAGTACATAGCAATACATAAACGTGCGCTGTTAAAGGCTAGCAGCTACTGTTATTGTACATAGGTTAATGGCATGTTATGGTCATTCCCTCCCACTGTTAACGGCTAGCAGGCTAACAGCAATGCTATGTTATTCTTCAACTTAGACTAACAGCCCCACCTCCTGCATTAGATTACATTACTGATTACTGTTAACAGCCAGCAGCTACTGTTATTGCACATAGTCAACTACTGTTTTGCATGCCAGAGTGAACTGGAACGTATTCAAAATGTGCATTTGAGGTATATTGTTTGTGATGAAGCGTATGTAACAGGTTGCCGAAGGCAATAATATACATATGCATATATTTATATATACTATATATTTGATTAAGTTGAAGTGTAGAGTTGTTTTCATCTGCCTTTCCAACTGTATAAACATATGTTAATATCCCCAGGTAAAGATTTGACATATTAACAATTGAACAAATTTTAGCTCGGCTTATGTGCATTTAAAAATAATACAAATATTGTTCCTTCAGTATTTCTGATATTGACATATAGTCAATATCAAATTGCTGTTATTTAGGTATATCTACTCATTATTCCCTATCCCATTCCCTTCCAGTTAACGCGTTGCTCATTCCTAGGATATCTGCTAGTCAAGTCACTTCCTAGCGTGTTTTACTCTTGGTTGCTTTGCTGTTGTCATTGATTTGCCGTAGTCTAGCAACAACAAAGGCTCTAATTTGTATATTGTTGCCCAACCCCTCTGGTGCGATAGTAAAGCTAGTTGTTTAGAACGCGCAATAGAAAGTTGATTTTTTTTTGTGCCAGAGCCGCAATTACATAAACATTATTCGTTTGTCGTTGAGCGTTGATGTAGATGCCATTTCCATTGTTCAGTGCTAAACAAAGGGCTAACAGTTAATATCAAAACTTGTTGCTAGATTGTGATTTCATAAGGCAATTTATGTGTTGTCTAATAGATTTCTATATTTATCGAATTTATAGCTAAAGATAAGTGGTTCAATATCTATATTAAGGTATTTCCTATTCACTTAGTCGCCAGTTATAATAGTCATATAGACACAACTTGTATGACCTGATGATATATAGCGCTGCGTGTGCTTTGTGTTTCTTTTATGCTCGACGCGGCTGCAACAAAACGAAATTCACAGCTCGAACTAATTATGCAAATACCAGACATGAATAATGGCATACATACACATGTATGCATATTTACATCATTCCATGACTAGCCTATGCTCTAATGCGTTTCTGTATTGGAGCAGACCTAGCAAAAGCTCCCTCCATTCGTCGCTACCCCTCGGCTGCATAGGGTATTAACAATTGCAGCGCATTGTATCAATTGTTGTCGTTGTCGGGAAAGTAGCAAACTATTTTTTTTTTTTTTTTTTTTTTGCAAGCATAGTTTTGCCTCTAGGCAATGTCTGTCTGCATGTGTGTATGTATGTATGTATATATATAGTTGATCTTACATAAGTGCATATACGCACAGAGATGCTCTAGCAAAACAAACGAACCAACTGCGACTCACCCGCATTCGTTGAACATTCGTTGCCATCAACTGTGGCGCCCTCTGCGACGGCCAGCGGACAGGCAATGGGCGTCGATGTGGTTGGTCCCTGATAGCCATGGGCTCTGCTATTACCTTCCGGCAATGACAAGGGACCCGCTCCACTCAGATCCAGCTCCAACGGCGGCGAGTTTTCTCGCACGCAAGACATCAGGCCGGAAGACATGCTGCAAAGAAAACAAACCGAAAATTATTAGTCATAATGATGAAAGAAATTATATATTTCAAATTTATTTAAATTGATATGATATAGGATATACATTAAGATATAGCTAAGTCTAATTGGGATCTTTTGTATATTGCAAGATTTTTAAATTTATATGAAAACTGTTGACAAATTTTTATAATTTTTTTTTTTTAAACATAATATCATTTCTCAATGAGAATATTGCATATTATATATGTGATAAATATTATTTATTTATTATACTCATTTATTTATGCTACAAGCTATGTGCGTATTATCTCAAAGTCCAACTAACAATTTGTGGAATTTATGCAATTAATAAAAGTGTCATATAAGTTTTCATCGGATATATGGATGATCAATAAATAAACTTGATCAGTGCGATCTAAGAGTTTACAGAGAAATGTAGGTAAGAGCAGTTATTTATATCGACTCAGCTGTCGTTCTTGATAAAACAAAAATGTTGAGTTTATAAATATTATTTATTAAATAACACATAAATTAATTCACATATAAGTGTATAGCTTCTAACACATTCAATATTTTAAAGTTTTTATTGAATTTTAAAAAAAAAAATTTTTTTTTAATCATTTTATATTTTTACCTTAATAATACTTATATAAATATATAGCTCATAATTTATATATGAGAAACTTTTTATTTTTTAAAGTTATTAAACTACAAATATAATTATTAATCATTTAATATTTTTACCTCTAAAATCTAGCAAGCTTACGAGCAGCCATACATTAATTGATTTATAAACTTGTGTATCTAAAAAAAAATAAATTAAAAAAATACTTAATACTATTTAAAAGTATATGAAGATAATATATGTAAGTAAGTAAGTACTTTTAAAGTACTATAACTAATCTAATTTGTCTCGTCTTGCCATTAAGCAATTTTATGAACTGCCCAAAAGTATGCAACATTTTTTCTTAATCAACTCAAATTGCACACATGAGCTATAAAGAAGTTGCAGCACGTGTTGCAGCTGCTAATTGAAGCTGGAACTTGAATGTGTTGATGCTGCAATGGGGCAGAGTAACTACAGCAAGAAGAAGAGCAAACTTGATATAAATTAAAAGGCAGCCTTTGCAAATAAAGTTGATAATAAAAAGGCACTAAAAGCAATTAGCACTGCGCATTATTACAGCTACGATTATCATCTTAATTATTGTGGAGCATTACAGAAAATAATAAAAGCAAGCCACAGAAGTAACTCGGAGCTGGACGTGTTGCACTTTCATGTAGTTGCGGTCGTAATCGCATTCGCAACGTGAAAAATCTAACAAATTAACTTTGGCTTTCATTTGCATTACACGCAAACACACAAATGCACAGGCACACACACACATGCACTGAGTGACTGAAAAGTTAAGAGCCCGTGAAAAAAAAGCAGCAAAATTTAATTATACTACTTATACATGAGATTTGCATAGGCGCAGCTAACTTTTTGACTAGGTTTGTATGAATGTGTGTGTGTGTGTCTGTGCCTGTGTGTGTGTCTGTTTGCATCTGTATCTTTAGCCTTAACGCGGTAATTGCACGCGCTCATTACACAAATTTGCCAACATAATTATGATGCGGCGTTGAGGGCAAACAATAAAACAACGAACAAAATGGCAACCGGCAATTGGCAACAATGCGTTATGTGGCCAGGAGGAAGTTACCCACACAGCTGAGATGCCCTACCAACAACAGACAGCCAGACAAAGACAGCTGTTGCTCGTTCGCCTTGGGCATAAAGTGCAGCGAAATTGTTCTCAAGGCACTGTAAAAAAACACTTGTGGCTTTTCTGGCTCAATGACACCAGCAGCAGCACCACAGCAGCACCACCACCAGCACCACAAAAGAGCAGCATCCACCTCATTGCCAAATGGCATAATGTACAGAAAAGCTCAACACGTTGAGCTGAAAAGGAAAGTGCCCCTGACATCTGACGCTTGGCAGCTGGAAAAGCGAAAAAAAAAACGAAGAGCGAAGAGCGAAACAGCGAAAAGCGAAAATAAAGCAAACTGAAACAAATTGCATGCTCATTGCAAGTTTACACAATAATTCAGTTGAAGACCTCTATGAAACTTGGCTGGCTCGGTTGGTTGCTCGGTTGGTGGGTCGTGAGGCGGTGCGGTAGTGCCCTAGCCAAACTATCCATTCATATGGTGCTATTAATTCAAATGACTAACAGCTCTTTGACAATTTGTTTTTCATGCTGCGCGGATTTTTTGCTTTTGTTTTTTTGTTATTTGCAAAATGCAAAATATTTGAAAGACAGCAAAAAAATGTGCCAAGGCTTAAATCAAAATTTAAATGCAATTCAATCAATTTAAATGTATATAATTACATATATTATAT